TAGTTTCACTGTATCTTACTATAGGGAATTTTGTAAGAACTACTATAGGCACTGATATAAAAATGTGATGCCTTTATATACAATTCAATTTATCGGTTTATTTAATTAGTGGTTAACTGACAAGAGTGAAATTCTCAATTTTCTTCTTGGTCAAACAAAAATATATTTTATTTATTTATTTATGATTCCTGTCATAATTTAGCAACATAATTAAGAGAAAACTAGGTGATTATATATTTAATACATTTACTGTGTTTGCATTAAAACTGGGAGGTTTAGACTCTTAATGATATCTATTGTTTTAACTTAAAAGATATCCTAGGAATTGACTAATTTTTACTTACATTAAAACATTGTATTTAGTCAGATTTACTGAATTCTCAGCTACTTCTTTTTTTAATTAGTAACAACAGAATTTAAGAATTCATTTCAAGTGAGAATAAGTTTATCTATGCAGATCAAGTAAAAATTGTGCAAATCATATTTATCATTCTTAGAACTTCTGGATCTTAGTCACATATTGAGAAGGTAGCTCTGTATGAATCAACTTTTTTTTTCCAAATGATTCTAATCCCTTGTGTCCATATTTTATGTGAATTTTAAAATATTTGAAAACATCCAGGAAACACGTTTCAGTAAGACCTATACAGAAAGACATAATTTAAAAAAGAAGTTTAAAAAAAAGTTTCCTCAAGATGTAAACTTACCACCACAGAGGGTTTAGGATACAGTTTAAAAGAAAGAAATCAAACTGCTTTGCTTTTGAAGAAAAATTGTTTTTAAATAAAAGAGTAACTGCATTTAACCTTTTAATTCTCATTTTAAAATAATAAGGTTTGCACACCCTTCTTTCTAATCTATATAATTAAATAATATCATTCAACATACACTGACTTTGATCCAAATAAAATACCATTGACTTTGAAAACAAAGCACTTGTTAGCAATGGTATATACAGTGAATGTATAGAAAAACATCACTCATATTTTTAATGAATTAGCTCCACTTGTAATTATCATCATCTTGAAAACATTTAAAGTTAGCAAAACATCAATGGGAAAAAGTTATATAAGCACTTAGAAGACTTCAAAAATATAGTCATGCTCAGATTGACTTGAAAAATTGCCAAAATTAAAAATATCCCTACGATGATGAGCAGACCGTGTCTTAGAACATTGAAATACTCATAACACATTTTAGTGGAATGATGGATTCTTCACAAGTGTTTTATTTTTTAATTTATTCCTTCCTAAACAAATAATCTTGGTAGTATCCATCACTACTCAATGTTATTATAATGAATAAATAATTTGTAAATGAATATGCACATGGCCAAATTTAATTTGGCTCTCAATTTAAAAAAAATTGCAGTCCTGTTGTACACTTGGGGCATTATCATTTAATTCTTGCTCAATTTTTTTCAGGGGTATATGAGAAAGTAAAAACTTCAGATTGGTGCTAGAGAACACACATGGCGAAATGCAATTTCCTTAAACAATTTTAAGCGATAGCACAGCGGGTAGGGTGTTTGCCTTGCATGCGGTCAACATGGCCGACCCGAGTGCAATTCCTCTGCCCTTCTGGCAAGGTACCAAGAGTATCTCGCCTGTGTGGTAAAGCCTCGCAAGCTACCCATGACATGTTTGATATGCCAAACACAGTAACAAGTCTCACAATGTTACTGGGCCTGCATGAGCAAATCGATGAACAACAGGAGGACTGTTGTTCATAGACATAAATACCTATGTGTGTAATAATATATTCACATATATATTGATGCCACAATTTCACCCATATATTTAAGTGCACTGTGGGAAAATTGTCATACTCAATAGTAAAGTTTCAAATGAGCTTTTGTAGTTTGCTACACATATAATAAGAAAGATCTTATTCATAAGAGCTCCTCATCCTGATGGGTGCTCTTGTTTACAAAATCAATTTTTAATAACTATCACTGAGGCTACTGATAATTATCTAGTGATTGTCAATTAGCAAGCTGCAGCTCTAATAAACAATATTTCAGAAAAGGTACATTTGCAGCATAATTGGAATCTAACTTTTTATTTAAAATTTGACATTCTTTGAATTACAGTGACATTTCCTCAATTTCTGTCTCTAGAATTTGGAGAGCACGGAAACTCATGTTCACTATAGTTGCCACAAAAAAAAAACCTCTCATCAACACAGGCTTAATATTATGATTTTTGAGAATATTTATTTCAAACAAAAAGTTAGTAGTTAATATTTAAACTATATTTTTAATGTGAAGGCTTGGAGCGATAGCACAGTGGGTAGGGCATTTTCCTTACAAGCAGCCAACCCCGGTTCTACTCCTCTGCCCCTCTCATAGAGCCTGGCAAGAGAGTATCCTGCCCGCACGGCAGAGCCTGGCAAGTTCCCCATGGTGTATTTGATCTCCCAAAAACAGTAACAGCAAGTCTCACAATGGAGATGTTACTAGTGCAAATCGATGAACAACTGGATGACAGTACTACAACAGCACTTAATGTGAAATTCACTTCAGCTTTGCTAATAGTAATTCTGCAATCACACTGTGAAAATGAATATAAGCAATCTTCCTCAATCACTTGATCACTTGACATCACATCACTCATCAATTCACTTGAGCGGGTGCCAGCTATGTCTCTATTTGTCCCTGTCGTGTGCTAGTGTAGCTCAATGGCATCTGCTTGTTCTAGGAACACGAGGAGCCTCAAACCGATGGTTCAGGGTCTTGACGAAGAAGTCTGACCATTTCATAGGTGGGCGGCCACGCAATCATTTGACATCTCATGGAATCCAGTCAGTAAAGGCTCTAGTCCAGTGGTCATCTCCAAATTGCATTACTTGTCCAGCCCATCTGATTTTCGATGCCTTGGCAAATGAGACAGTGTCACTGATTCTTGACTATTGACAGAGGTCGGAACTCCGGATTCTTTCTCTAATTTGAGTGAAGCATGATACTCTAAGCACAGCTCTTTTGATTCCTCTTTGGGAGACCCGAATAGTGTCTCATCCTGTTTTCATAGGGTCCAGGCCACTGAGGCGTATGTTAATGCAGGAAGAACAGTGGAATCGAAGAGATGTGCCTGGAGCCAGAGGTTCTTCATACTCTTAGCTATTTCTTTGACGCTCTTGAGGGCGTTCCAAGTCGCTCTCTTCCTCCTGTGCAATTCAGGTGCCAGGTCATTCATCATGTTGAATTCTTGACTTTAGTATGCCTAACTGTTGCATTCAGAGATGATTGTCCCATTGAGAGCAAATAGAACGTCAGAATGAAACCGTTTCTCATAAACATTGTCTTCGTGAGATTCAGCTGCAGTCCCACCTTTCCACACTCACAGTCAAAGTCAGCCAGCATTTGTGCTGCTTGGTTGATGTTTGGTGTTATTAGAATGAAGTTATCAGCGAAGATGAGATGGTGTAGTTGCCGACCCTCTATCTTCACTCCCATTCCTTCTCATTCCAGTCGCCACATGACGTTCTCAAGGGTGGCACTGGAGAGTTTCAGTGAAATGGTATCACCCTGCCGAACCCTTCTCTTAACATGGATGATCACTTCTTTGTAGAACGGTGAGATCCTGGTAGTGAATCCACAATATAGCTCATGGAGAATCCTGATGTATTGAGTTTGTACACTCTGATTGGCTAGGGCTTCTATGGCTGCTTCCATCTCAACAGAATCACAGGCCTTTTTTAAGTCAATGAACATTAGACAGAGCGGCATCTTATACTCCCGAGAAACCTCAATGAGCTTGGTTTTCATGTGGATATGGTCGATTGTGCCTAATCCTTTGCAGAACTCGGCTTGCTCACATGGTTGTCCTTCATCTTGTGTTCTGCCAATCCTATTCAGGATGACTTGAGTGAGCAGCTTGTAGATGACAGACAGTAGGCAGATGGGGCAATAGTTGCCAATGTCATGGATGTCTCCCTTCTTGAACAGTAGTACGGTCCTGCTGGTTTTCCATTGGGACAGAACCTTGCATTAAGACAGGTAGCGTGTAAGGTGCCGAGCCAGTGTATTGATGAGTACTGATGGCAGGTTCTTTAGGTGTTCGGGTCTGATCGTGTCTGGGCCGGGTGCTGTTCGCTTCTTTACCAACAAAATAGCGTGTCGGATTCTGGAAGTGAGAATGCTGGGGATGACATATCCATCTTCTTCAATATTGTTGTTAATTTAGAATAAATAACACTTTGGTTGAGCATAAAGAAAAGATCACTTCAGTGTATTTAATTTCAGTGGTGGTAGAGAGAAATATTTCAATTTTAATATTTTACCTTTTAAAATCTCTATGAGACAGAGAAAATGGAAAAATGTAATATTTTTATTTTAATTCACCTAGTATTTAAAAGAAATGGCATTGTTATTTTTCATATAAGTTTATAAAAAAAACTTAAGTGAAATTGGGGTCTGTTCAATATTGAGTCAGGATTAGAAGAAAGGAAAAAGCTAGTCTTTCATTATTTAAAAAAGAATTTTAAAATGGGTTTCTTTTGGGAAGTATCTCGGAAATAAAAAGAAGGAAATCATGGCTTTATGTTTTATATTTAGCTATGTTCCAGAGAATTCCAATAAACAGAAAAAAAAGTAATTCTAACAATATTCCCAGGAAAAAAGGCCACATAAATATTAGACTAACAGGATAAATAATCACAGATTATTGTTACATAAAATATATATTATAGTATTTAATTTCAACCGGGGCCTGCTCGAGGCAATCGATGAACAACAGGATGGTCGTGATGAATTTCAACAGAATTATAATTTACCATATAAATGGGATATAAGGGTTTATTTCTCTTTATTTGAGAAGTAAAATAGATGATGGTGTAATGAAGTTTTCAATGCATTTATTTTATATAAATTTAAATAAATCAGTCCAAATTCTGTGACTTTAGTTACCCAGGAAAGCCTTAAAATAATACAGTGCTATTCTCATTTATCCACCAATTTCACTGCAGTTTAAATTTAAACTTTATGTTACTGATATTCAATTATATTGTACTTGAAGTTTTATGACTTTTGCCTAGCCAGTAGAAGTTATAGGTAAAGATAGCCAACCCAATAAACCAAATTGAACAGGGCAAAGGCTGTTGGGAAAAATATTCGAGAATAGGAATCAATCTTGGCAATGCGAATATGTAGCCTTCCTTCCCTCCAAGATCCTGTTTTGCAGTCCTCAAAGCAACAGAAGAAGCTGGCGCAATCTTTGCCCTCCAAACACTGGTATCCATACTCATCATCACTTTGTGGCATAGAAAGGCTATTCATTGGAATCAATGTGGATCCAGGATGAAGTCCAGGAATCATCTGAGTGAAAGAATAAGGTATTTCTTGAGAAAAAATATACATAGACTAATTTATACTCTCAAACTCTAGCAACTAGTTTATGATAAAAATAATTTTGCTTCCCCCAAGTAAAACAAGAATTTCATTTTTCTTTTCTTAAAATGAGACGTTTTGAGTCAAACCTAGTGATGCTCAAGACTTATTCCTAATTCTGGGCTCAGGTATCACTCCTGGTAGTTCTTGAAGGACAATATGAGATGCTCGGGAAGAAAGTTAGGTCTGCTATGCCAGTGCTTTGATCTCTGTACTATTTTAGTAGATATATTATAATCTACTTTGTTATCATAAAATTTAACGTTATGTTACATATCAAGAGAGTACCAAAAACAGGAAAAATAAAATTTATTTTATACATTTATATCTTTAGAAAGCTGATGTGGACAAAAAGAAAAGAAGTTTCAAGGGGCCAAAAGGATAGAGCATTGATTATAGATCCTGCTGTGTACTGACTGACTGGGTTTTCCTGTTTTTGTCTCTATTCATCCCTGTCATGTGCTAGTGTAGCCCTATGACATGCTGGGGGCTCTTTTAGGATCAGGGGAATGAGCACCATCATTGTTACTGTTTTTGGCATATCGAGTATGCCAATGGTAGTTTGCCAGGCTCTGCCATGTGGGTGGGATACTCTCGTTAGCTTGCAGGGCTCTCCGAGGGTGATGGAGGCTTTTGGGGCATTAATTAATTAAAATTTAATTAATACACATTAATGAAGAATAAAGTTTAAAAGAGTTGGGGCTGGAGAGACAATAAGGTGGGTAAGGCGCTTGCCTTGTCAGAGTACTGCCAAGTATGGCCTCCAAACAAACAAAATTAAAACAAAGAACAGCAGCATGAATTAGAGCAATTTATACCCCCTGATAAGAACTATAGATTTAATTTTAATATCAAAATAAATTTCAAATATAAATTTCAACTTCAATAGTAAAAACAATAGTTATTTGTTGTTCCACTATTTGGTGTCAGGGAATAAAATAGACAAATTAAGTGCTCTATACTGGTCTATACTATCTATCTCTGCCACCAAAAAAAATTAATATTAACGAAATAAACAATTTCTATGTGCTTTACATTAACTATGAAAACTGGAAATTTAATCATTTCCAACAAAAAATTTAAAGAGTAACGTATTTTCCAGGATATCAAACACTAATATTTAAAAAAAAATCAGTAGATTCAAAATAAGGCAAGTAATCAAATTTAGTATTTGTTAAAAAAAATACACAACACACAGACCACAATATTCATATTAGGAAGAAAATTTGCCCTCTGAAGATAAGTAGCAATGTCCTAAACACCAGTATATTCATGACTCCAATTGCTTAGATGTATTAAAAAATGTGGAGGCAGTATTTTATTATAAATGTTAATGACTGATCTTTTGAGGTTGACATTTGGCATACTTGACTAGACACCTAAATTTTAGTGAAGCATTAAAATTATGTACAAAAATAAGACAAATTGGTATTCATTTCCTTGTCACTTAATACTTAAATAGCATATGTTCAAATGCTAATCTGAGTGAAAAGTGATTAAAGTACAATTTGTAAGTTAGAAATTTCAAGGTTATATAGCATGAAACACAATCCATATTTCAGTCAGCACTGCCACAAACGTTGTGCACACTGGAAGATATAAAATGTTTTAGAGTGATGATTAATTAGTAAAGTACTAAAGAAAATGAATAAAACCCTGCAAAAAATGTTTCCTTTTAAAAAATAAACCAATCTCTGGTATCAAAATCATGTAGAGCTTCCATTGCACTGACAATTTAAATTGATGATCTTCCTTCTTGGGGGTTCTCTCCAAACACCATAAATTCACAAATTGAAAGAAGTTAAAAATGATGAATGGGAATATAAGTAGACTTAATGTGTGCTGATAAATATATCCAAAGAACTAACATAATATCAATAACATAAAATATTTTTGACATACAGATCTGTGACTTGGAAACTAATGAAGATTAATTGAAATTATATGCATATTACAAACTATATTTATGCAAAATAAAATATTTTATAATTTCTTTTGTAAAGATTTTTGTGTCCCCAAATAACAAGCCTTGAAAAAATTGAAAATAAATCAGTTCAGCTGATATAAAAAGAAACAGTAGTTTCATATAATTTTCTCACTTTATTATTACTATCATTGTTATGATGATGATTTTTGTGCTACACTCACTGTTTTCAGTACTCACTCCTAGCTCTGTTGTAATGAATCACTTCTGGAGTTGCTTAAGAGAACACATGCAGTTCCAGGAATTGAACTGGGGTCAGACATAGGCAAGATAAACACTGTACACCCAGTACAATCTCACCAGCCCAATTTTCTTTTGCCTTTAATGATACCATTACTGGGCCCGCTCGATACCATTTTGAAAGGATAATATTGTTGCTAATTTTAAAAATCACTAAGAGTGCTGGAGTCACGGTACAGTGGGTAGGATACCTGCCTTGCACCTGTCCAATCTGGGTTTGATTCCTGGCAGCCCATGTGGTCCCTGTGAAACCTCCAAGAGTAATTCTTGGAGAGCCAGGAGCAACCCTTGTTGCCCTCAAAATAAAACTACTCAAAGCAAAACCACCAAGAACTTAAGTAAACTTGACTTTTTAATAAGTTCATCCCACTTTATTAAAAATGCATATGAGACTGTTAATTTAAGTTAATAACATACATAAAAAATATACTTAAGCAGAAACTACACTAACAAAATATTTAGCAAATAAAACAACACTTATGAACAAATTCTATTTAGATAAGTAAAAATGCTGACTAGAGTTTGTACATGATTAGGACTCTAAGTTCTGAACATTAAAAAGTGTCACGTTTATTAAGGTTAATAAACTTTGCTTTTGGTAAGGACTACCTTAGTAAAATCATCATCTTCATTTAGAGTAAATCTGTGTATGAATAAAAGTAATCAGATGCCAAGTTTTCCATTTAGACAAATGAAAGTTAAATTTAAGGATTAAAAACTAAACAATAAGCTAAACATATTGAAAAATCGACAGGAACATCTATAGTTCTCAAAGCATTCCTGGGAGCAAACCAGAGCAATGAGGTGGGAGTCCCAGAGCTATGTACAGCAGAGTGATGTCCTCAAACCAAAAACAAATAAAAAATTCAGGAACTCTGAAAAACATTAAAATTTCCAAGCAGTTTACTCAGAAGTACTTGAAGAGGTATTGTACTGATACTGTCACCACTTAAGAAAATTAAGTAGATTTAAAGAAGAAATCCTTAAAAACAAAACCTTGCTTAAAAATTTAAAAATATGCAAAATGAAATTTTGATGTCACCTGCTATACATAGTAAAAAAACTTCAATAGAGATACGATAAAAGTGTATATGCCCTACATGCCTAATGCCTAATTAACCTACCTAGGAGGTTTAAAATCTATCTATAATAATTTAAAACTAGAAAACAAAACGGAGTAAAGAATCAAGAACATTTTAATACGTGAAAATACAAATAATGAATTAATATTAAATAAAATAAAAACAGAAAATCAAGCACCTTAAATATTTTATATAATGAAGAATAATTATAAAATATTTAATGTATAAAAATATTTTTTACAATGGAGAAACATGATAAAATATTTCAGGACCAGAGGAACAGTGTAACGGGTAAAGTATGTTTGCCTTGCATGCAGCCACTTGGGTTCAATACTCAGCCTTCCGTAGCGTCCCCTTAACTCCTCTGGGAGGAGGATCCCTGAGTTCAGAGCCAGGAATAAGCCCTGAGTACCACTGGGTGTGACCCAAAACCAAAAAAATAAAGATTTTCAGTGCTAGCTACCTTCCCAAATAAATAAGAATGCGTTCAGCATTCAGGCACAATAATGACTTGTGAAGTTAAGGATTTGGGACGATGGGTGGAATGGAAGGGTTTGGGGCCACTCTCAATAATGTTCAGGGATTACCCCTGAGTCTTCTCTCAGGAATCACTCCTGAAAGTGCTCAGGAGACCATATATGCTACCATGGATCAAACCAGCGTTGGCCTGGTTCAAGAATTGTGCCTTATCCCCTGTTTATTTTCTTTTAGTCACCAAAAAAGCAACAGTTTAAGTTTTACTCTTAAATTGGTGGGATCTCTTCCAAACAGCGGTTACAAGGGCCAGGAGACAGTAGCTACCAGGGTTCTGCTTGGAGATATGAGGGATTGAACTACAGTCTGTACATACAAGGCATGTGCCCCTAACCAGTGAACTATGTCCCCAATCTTGTATAACATTTATCAATGAACTAATATAACAACTATTAAGGTAAATATTAGAAGAAATGATATAATAATACAGCGAGATTTGTCTGTCTTTTATATCAAAGAGTTATAACAATTTTAATAGGGGTAACTCAAGAATTGCAAGTATAATGAAAATAATCATCAGAGGAGAGTAAAACATAAATGGATAAAATCTGGCTAATTCTGGGCAGTAGGGCCAAAGATAATTCTGGACAGAAAATTATATTCTTCTTTTGTGTACTTATTTTTCTATTTGTTTTTGTGTTCCAACCATGCGTATGTATTACTATCAAAATTAGATTTTTTCAAATGAGAATTTGGCTTCTTAGTAATCTGATATCTCTATATAGATGGGTATTTCAGTAGAAAGAGAAATCAAAGGAATGTATTTGGAAATAAAGGTAGGAAGAGAGTTATGGTTGTTGGTATCTACTGGCATTCATTGCAGCTGATATCAGCAGATAATACTGATTACTACAATTATTTAAGCAATCTTTTTGCATTTCACCTTCCACTGATATTTAATAATCATTTCTTAGTCTTGTCAAAGGCCATTATAGGAAAGAAGGCTTATAATTTGTAAAATCTAGTATTCATCCATCTTTTTATTATTTTGTACTCTGTAAGATGCTATTTGTACAGGCTTTCACGGACTGAAAACAATATATTTTCTTTGTAAAACAAGGTTCTGTGGGTGGAGATTATGGGGAAAATGAACCTCCCACACATAATCTCCACTCAAACACCCTGGTACTAATTTTCAGTAATATATTATTTTCTTTTACTCAAGGTGAAAAAAAGTATAGATATATGTAATAAGGTAAGGACACGATTGGTAATTTGAAGTTCCAAGAGTTTATGGAAAAACTAATTTGACATCAGATTTTAACTTTAAAATAGCATTTTTAGTTAAAAACTAGGGATAGTAGCTTTCCTATCTGTATATGGACACACAGCAGCACCGGATAGAAGTTACAATCACTTTTCTGCTTCATCTTTGTCCAAGCTTGTATATTTTAATATTCTACAGTAATTTGTTATTTGTATACACAAAATTTTTCTAAGTGTATCAGTCCTGAATTTTGTTGCACAAATTTTTCTAATCACCGATCTATAGGACCCCTATTAATTATTTCTCTACTAGTTAAAATCAAGCAATTTATTTCCACAATATTAACAGAAACTAAGGTATTCTTTTAAAATTAAATTTTTTTTCAGATATAGTCAACTATATATTTTTGTGCTATCTCCAAAGCATAAATATTAATAATAAATAAAAATGAAAATATAATTCAAGCAAAAGTGTTTCTGGCAAGAAGCATCACATAGAATGAAGTGAATGTTAGACTGGCACTTTTCTAATAAGGTTACAATATTTAAAGCTTTATATGTATTCTTAAATGTTCTAGCACCATAGTTAATAATTTATTTGTATGTGTATATATACACATCTGTTACATTTACACATATTGTGTATACAGAAAATATTCTTTTTAGCTCTCATATTTGCAGTTGTCTACATTTTTCTCCCTACCATCTACACTTCAAATCCATATTTTTCATCTATTTGTCTTTCAAAATTATAGATTCTATTATGCTATCTTGCTTAAAATATGCATTGATATTTTAGTGCTGATAGAACAAGACCTAAGTTGGTTTGGTGTGGGGGGGGGGGCGGGGGCTGGAAACCTGAGTGTGAAACTGTTTTGGCTCTGAGGTGCTGGGAATTTTGGCTCATCCTGATGGTGCTCAGGAGGCTATAGGGCTGCACCCAAGTGATGCTTGGGTGGATCATGTGGTGCTAGGAACCAAACTGAAGTCAGCAGCATGTAAGTCATATGCTTTAAGCCCCATAGTACCATTCTGGCACCCAAATCTAAATTTCTGACAATTATACTAGAGACTTTATGCAAGTTGGTCATAAGCTACGTTTCTAACCTCTACTCTGATTATTTTCTTTGTTAAATTCCTATTTTCTATACCAATACTATCAAGTTGAAACTGCTCTGATGATAGACATCTTCTGTATCTGAGCATTCAAATACTTCAGCCACTAGTCAAGCATAATTATTAAACACTGGAAATGTAACTATTGCTAGCAAGTTACTGAAAATTATATTTTTGTTTTAATTCATTTAAATCAACTAAGTCATACATTCCGTGGATTGTACATTTCATTGTCTTGGCTGGGAGAGAGGAAAAACTTATACTCTATAAAGAATAGTTGAGAAGATAACAAATAGAGCTATCAGTGTTCATATGAGTTATAATTTACCAGACTAACAAGGCCACAAGGCTGAACACTGAACAAGCAGGAAGTCAGATTCAATATATAACTCTGGTTTTTCATGCAAAGTGTCATTTAGATTGAATAATATAAAGCTACATACAAATATACTTGTAAAAGAAATACACATAATCAAATTGAGATCAATTTAAAGAATTTATTTTGGATTGCTCTGAAGAAAATATTTCCATGGACAGAGCATCAACTGCACATCAATTGAATTATTTTTAATATTTAAAAATTTTGATTTCAAAGCTATTTAAATTTTCTATTTCCTTTTTTCAGCTTTAGTATCTTGCTTCTTTGTTTTGATGTCAAAATTTTAAACTTTCTCACCAGGAATTTTTCCTTTTAGATAACCATTATGCAATTTTACCCAGACTAGGGATGTTTTTAGTAAATATTTACTAAGTGAATTAGTAAGCAACCATAACAATTCTTGCATTTTTACATTATCACATCAGCTCACCTAGATAAATGTGATATTTGATAGTGTTATAAGCATAAAATTTGAAGGCAAACCAGTTAGTTGAAATCCTAGAGCACAACACACTACTTGAAAATCTTGAGTTAATATTAATAGAAGTATTTATACTAATTTGCCAGAGCCTGACAAACTATCCGTGGAGTATTTGATATGCCAAAAACAATCACGGGTCTCATTCCCCTGACCCTGAAAGAGCTTCCAATACAGCAGCGTTGGGAAAGACAAGTAAGGAGAGGCTGCTAACATCTCAGGGCTGGGACTAATGGAGACACTACTGGTGCCCGTTAGAGTAAATTGATGAATGGGATGACAGTGATACAGTGATATAGTGCTTTATATGAATTATTCCTAGAAAAGTTAGAGAATATATGTAAAATTGTTCATTTTCAATAATTAATTTTAATTTTTATTCTAAACATTTTCACTTACAATTTCTAGAAGCAAGGCTTTCAAAGTAATAATTGGACATAGTTTTGGAAAAGAATAATAAAATGAAATAATTTACAGAGGATACTTGTGTTTTATTAAAAGAAATTTTGAAAAGCCTCATTCTTTACCTCAAATTTAGCAACTGGGGTGGGATGGTGGGGATGGGAGTGGGAGGGATATTATCCATGGTGGTGGAAAATGGGCACTGGTGGAGGGATGGGTATTTTATCATTGTATAATCGAAACCCAAGAACAAAAAGCTGTAAATCTACAACTGTACCTCATGGTGTTTCACTAATAAAAATAAAAAAGAAAAGAAAAGAAAAGAAAAGTTAAAAAATTTAGCAACTGATATTAACATTGACATTATTGTCAGCCGGTAGTTTGTCATTGTTATGGATGAGCAAAATAATGTCACGTGGAAGAATCATAAGTTAATCCCAAACAATAAGTTTTTAAACTGATATTCCCAGAAATATTCTCTGACTTATTAGAATAGGGTGGGAGTCTGAATCAAATACATAAGGGTTTTCCCTGACATAAAAGATGAAAATAAAAATGTAACTTAAAATTATGGAAATATTTTTTAAAGAAAATTATAACTGGGGGGTAGGAAGAAAAAAGTTTTGAATCCTGGAACTTACAAAGTTCAGACATACTGTGAAAAACTTCAGAACTCATTATATACACACTAGTGTAAGCTTATAAGCTTGTCACCCATGCATAGCTGTTTCATACAGTTCTTGTTTATTTGTGTATTTTGGGAAAATCTGCTTTGAAAATATTTACTGGAATCAATAATAAAGCATCTTTTGTTGTCAGTGTTAGGGAAGAAACTATATTCTTCTGAGTCCTATGAGAAAAGGAAATATAAAGATTGAAAGTTTTAGGTCAGACACTAAATAAAATAACTGGATGTGTGTCTAGCACTTTTCATTTCTAAAGACTGTTACTTACATTTGCTACTATGACACAAAAAATACAGTCACTCATATAATGCCCTAGTATTTAGAAAATATGTAATTAATTCTCAAATATTATATATGATTGGGAAAGTGAAGTAAAAAAGTACAAGCATATAAAAACAAAGAACTTAATGACTATAAGTTTCAAAAAGTTGAATACCACACGAATGACATGTTTTTAAAAATAATTATGCTTTACTAAAATTTCCTTTTCCCATTCTTTCTTTGAAAAAATAATTTATTCATTATTTTATAATATATTAATTTTATTGGGGGGGGCAAGCCTGTTGGTCCTTAGGGAGTCACTCCTGGCTTTGTGCACAGTGATTATATACAGAAAAGTATATGTGGTACCAGGAACAGAAATGGGGTTGGCAGCATGCAAGGCAAGAACCTTGACCCCTCTATTATCTCTCTCCAGTCCCTTAAAATTTAATTTAAAATACCATTTTAAGTGGTATTTAAATACTTTGAATGTCCTTGAGTTTTAGTATCAAACATATAAGTGTACATGTAGATACATATAGATCTTACCACACCATACCCAGCAACAAAATGTCAAATACCTCCATTTTAGCCCATTGAACTCTTTCAGCTCACTCCTTCACCTTCTCTATAATCCTAATTCTGTAGTCAGAATGTGGGTTGGAGTGATAACACAGCAGGTAGGGCTGTTGCCTTGCACGTAGCCAACCTCACCAACCCAGGTTCGATTCCTCCACCCCTCTCAGAGAGCCTGGCAAGCTACCGAGAGTATCCTACCTGCACGCCAAATCCTGGCAAGCTACCTGTGATGGTGATGTATTCAATATGCCAAACACAGTAACAACAAGTCTCACAATGGAGACGTTGTTACTGGGCCTGCTTGAGCAAATTGATGAACAATGGGAGGACAGTAGTCAGAATGTAAAAGAGTATTTTTAAAGTCCCAAACTATTAAGTATAAGTTGATTTTGTCAACTAACTATATAAAAATTCCAAATCCTACTGCAAAAATGAAATCAAATAGATATCTTACTATTTTTTTTAAATATAAAGAATTTCAGGTAGGTTGTCACTTGTAGGAAATTTTATAACGTAGGAAATCACACTTTAGAAAAGTGACCCAAGAAACCTTTTTTTTGTTGTAGACCACACCTGGTAGTTCTCAGGAGTTATTCCTGGCTCTGCACTCAGGAATTAGTCCTGGCAGTGCTCAAGAAACCATATGGTATGTCAGGGATCAAAGACAGACTAAGTTGCTATACTATTGCTTCAGTCCCCAAGAATTTTTTCTAAGGAGAAATATAAATGCACTTCACATGGTTGACAATGGTAGGTATTCCAGTTATTTATATTCTGTAACAGAATCTAGGTGTACCTATTAGTGTGAGCAAGCATAATTTAAGTGTTAAAGAAACAGTATCTCTAATAGCAAGTTTCTTTTTACAAAATAGAGACAGTTAACATACGGAGGCTTTGGTTTTGACTTTTCTGTCTCTAGGTATGTCTTCTTTCTTGTTGCTGGTAAAATAATGCAGGGCTCCATATTCCATCAATGCTGCAAAAACAAAAATGAAACAAACAGAAACAAAAAGATCCATCGCTGTCACATAAGAAACCTTGGGTAATGACTTCCTAGCAATTGTACTTAGAGTTGTCATAGTCAGAACGGTAGTGATACCTGTGGAAAAAGGAAAAGACAAATGAAGATAGAAAAACAGCATAAAGACCATTTTTAGTTTTCCATCTGGGTTTGGCAATAGTGTGAATAAATATCAGAAATAAAAGTATATGATTACTAGTGATTTATTGAAAGAGTTACTGATGAGTGGATAATTCTATTTGATGTGTTTTGCATAAGTTTTAATCAGCCAAATTCTATGAACTGACAGTAGTCATTAACTCTTCATATGTACATTCCTTGCCTCTGCCCATAATAATTATTTAGCAGGTATGACGCTGTCTGGAATGATAGCAATTTTCTTTGTTTTTGCCACCATTTCTCATCAATGTGATATTAAAGAAACTGGAAATGCCTTGTGTATATTCCTCAAAGATTTCTACAGAAAACAAATGGCCATAGCACCAGCAACCATCTTATTCCATTAGATAGTATCGATAATTAGAGGCTGGAGAGGGTAAGGTGCTTGCCTAGATCACAGTGACCCGGGTTTGATCCCCAGTGCACCATATAGATACCCAAATCCACTACGAACTATTCCTGAGGATAGACTCAGGAGTAAACACCTAAACCAGGAGCAGCCACTAAAACAAAAATGGTTACTTTTTAAAAATTATTTTAATTACATAACTAAAATATCCCGCATCCTAGCAAAAGTTAGAAGAAACCCAAATCTCTCACATTGCACTGAAACATATCTCCCTTAGACCTCTAACTCTGAACACTCATTTGAAAAGAAAATTATTCTTCCACATAATTGAAGCTACAGTGATTTGAGATTTTCTGCCTCAAAGAGTAAAAATTAATTGAGACTAGTATGGAATTTTCTTACACAATTCAATTTTTTTAAAAACTTTATAGTTATAAAGTTTGAGTAACAAATATATTTGAAGTTACTCCTACGAGTGATTTTAAAGCACTAAAAAATCGCTTTTATATTAGAATTCAGAATATGCTACTACTTTTCCCCTGGTATCCAATTTAGTTTCTATTCATTGTCACAAAAGCATAGATACATAAATAAAACTGTACTCTCAAAAATATTTTAAATGTTTCATAATGCTTCTCATTTTGATCAAACTAGAGGCAGCATTCAGAATTAAAAAAATAGAAGGGGTCAATTTTGTACAGTCGATGTGGCAGTCACTTCTTTTATCATGTGTCCATAGAAACATATCTTCCTCAATGTCCATTTTAAATATTTGTCCACTCCTCATAATTTTTGGTGCTCCAATGAACAGAACAAACACATGTAACTATGGTGTGTGCAGGTTGGTTGGGGTACATTTTGTTGCTGCACTAGATCACAAAAGGCAGTACCTGTTTGGTATGTGGGGAGGTATGGGACCAAACTTAAGCTTCATGCTTTCAAGGCATGTATTCTACCACAGAGGCACATATCTGTCTCTTTAAGGTTCATATTTTGATGATCAGAGCCACTAAGTAGAAAAACTCAAATGTTTCATAAATTTGAAGTCATAGAGGCAAGTTTAGCCATTAGTTCTGTGAACCTGGGAATTCATTTGATTCTCAACTGAAAAAACTGACACAGAAATACCTTCTTTGGTACTACACATAATATTTTGCAAAGAATATTTATTTTACTCATTATTATTTAAGGAAGATACTTAGAATATAGCACAGTGGGTAGGGCGTCTGCCTTGCATGCAGCCAACATGGCCGACCCGAGTTCGATTCCTCCGCCCCTCTCGGAGAGTCCGGCAAGCTACCGAGAGTATTTGATATGCCAGACACAGTAACAACAAAGTCTCCAATGGAGACGTTACTGGGCCCGCTCGAGCAAATCGATGATCAACGGGAGGGCCTTTACTTAGAATCTAGGTTTAGATCTTTCTAAAAAAAAGAATCCTTTAAACTAACATTTGAAGGTTGTAATCTATTTCCTTTACAGTACTTATTTTGGCAGTATCGCACAAAATATGTTACATTCCTATTAAAATTCAAATTGAAAAATTCCATAATTTTCTCCTTGATTGTCCTAAGCCACACCCAGTGATGCTCAGGGCTTACTCCTGGTTCTTCACTCAAGGATCACTCCTGGTGGAGCTCAGAGGACCATATGGGATTTTGGATATTGAACCCAGCTCTTATGAACCAAGGTAAGAGCCCTACCGACTGTACTATTCCTCTGGCCCCTCACTTTTTTTTTGACCCAAGGACTATCTAAAATGTCATAGTGACAATTTGTCTTAACTTCAATTTTGCTTCTATTTTGGTCAAAAACTAGACTGAAGAATTAGGGTTTTTAGAATTTTATCAAGTTTTTGATTAGCATTTCATTATGAATGTGAAAGAGAAATGGATTTGAAGTTAGGTACGATGTCCCGTAAATGTGAAGCCATTCAGAGATTATAGTTTCATCCACATTTTCTTCCTCTCAAATGATATATTCAACTAATTATTCTATCAACTAATGAAAAAGTATTAAAATATCCACTTATGATTATAGATTTGTATTCCCCATTTCATGAGTTTTTTGTTTCAACTAAAACTATATTTTAAAATATTGTGTGGGTAAATGTTAAAGAATTTCAATGTGTCTTCTCTCTCACCTTACGTGTTTTACTTCGGGTACTTTATTAAATGAAAACTTTTCCTGAGGTACTCACATCTAGTACTGGGGTTAAGGTGAATGCCCTTTAATGCCATTTACCCTGGTTCAACCCCTGGCACGACAAACCCCACCTCCTCAGATTTTAGCATCACCCAGGAAAGCCCGGAAGGTGCCCCGTCACTACTAGCTATCAATGATGCTGAGTGCAACAGGGTGGCCTAAGCACCACAGAGCTGTGGTAACACCTGGTTCTCTGCCCTTACTTTGAATCACTGGCCTAACTGACTGAGGATGTGCAGGAGGGAACCTCAGGACTGAGCATGGCTTGTTAAATCCTCCCACCTCAGAAAACAAACAAATACCTTTTCCATTTTCCAGTTAAAGCATATTGCCAGAGTTATTCCTACCTTCTAATCATTACATTTATATCTCATAAATCAAAGAAAATAACAACCTAGCTTACAGAAATTTATTTAATTTGGCAATTTTGTTTCCAGAACTTCACTTAGGAAGAACAAGTTTGGTTTTGCTGCTAAAATAGAAACTCTACAATAAAGAGGAAACATTTGGGATGTTAAGAAAATCCACTTAATCCACTCTATGCTACTGTAGAGGAAAATCCTACAATAGTCTCCAATCAGATAAAAATTTTGAATCCTCAAAATGACCTACTGGCACTGTCACTACCTACTTACAGCTCATTTTTCCAATTTTTCCAATCTTCCTACTGCTCTTGTTATAGTTGTCTGCTTTCTGCATGTCAGGCTTTTGTGCAAAGGAAAATATCCCTTACCAATCTTGTGATTCACTCTGCCTTATCTTTCTATTATCTATCCACCAGATAAATCAAATACTTCACTAGTTCTCTCCTATTTCCCCTGAAAAGTTTGTACTGAGTCCATAAGACAAATAGCAAATATGTCTATCCACATCTCCTGATATTCTTATATCATTTATTGTTATTTTTCTGTGTAAATTTTAATTTCCACTGATATTTTCTTATGATTTTTAAATTTTTCCATTACGCTAGACCCTTCTAAATGTCACCCACATGAGGATTTTATAACTCTTGTTCACTGCAAACACTGCATCACCTAGAACAGTCAATTTCATAGGTAATATTTAATAAACATTTTCTTAAAATTCACTCTTTAATAAGTTCAGGAAATTGTTCTTTGGTTATATAGCTATATTGATCTTAAGTAAACCCAATTTTCAACCAAATATAGCAGAAAATAATTTAATTGTAATATCTGATTATAGCTCATCTTCAACATAACATACTGATATTAAAAATATAGAAAATCATCAGAACAGAGAACTAGTATAGAGATTAAGACTTTTGCCTTTTGCCTTGCACATTGCTGACACTGGTTTGATCCTTGGTATGGTATGTTTCCCCATACTGCCAGGAGTGATCCCTGAGAATAGAGGCAGGAATAAATCCATACCACAGTTGGATGACACCAAAACAAACATATATTTGAGAATAAAAATTGATCAATAAGCTTTCATTTTATACTAATGTGGATTTTCACTTTTGTTTTTAAAAGTTATAGTTATTAGGGGTCGGAAAGACAGTATTGTAGACAGACCACTTGTCTTTCATGAAGCCCACCCTGGATTGATCCCCAGTAGCAATGATGGTGCCCAGAGTATCTCCAGCAATGGTCCATGAGTGCAGAGCTAAGAATTAGCCCTGAGCACTACTGGGTATAGACCAAAAACCAACAAGAAAAAGTCATAGCAATTAAATACATTGTATGATTTTTATTACTGCTTTATATTTCAAAGAAAGAAAATAAAATTATTTTGTATGAATCAAAAGTTCTCCCATTTATCAATGTTGTTATACCAGCAACTCTCAAAATATTTACTAATATATAATATATATATATTAACAGACTAATAATACGTTTTACAGATTACTGAAACCACGAAAGCTCCTGTTCCTCTTAGCAACCTGCTCTTTGGATGACTGTTCACTAGCATCATTGTAAGAATAGTGGATTTCAAGGTCTTCTAAATATACACTACTTAATAAATGCTGGATACTAGAGATTAGTAAAACTGTAATAACTCCCTGATGAGAATGATTGAAATATTGATTAGAATAAGGTTGAAGGATTTTCCTTGATTGATTCTTAGAGTGAGTTTAGGCTTCTCTTGTCCTTTATTATTGTCAAATCTTTAAAACTCTGGAATTTAGAGTCCTTTTTCAATTCTATTTCCCATAAGTTTCCATACATTCAATTCAAAATCATATCACACCAAAATATATGTGAGTTTTCCCCAAATGTTATTTAAATGAGTATTCCAGTATAATGTTATAAAATTTAATCACATTAAATTATTTTGAAAAACGCTACTAAGCTATAACATGGCATTAATCAGTGATGTCATACCAAGTGATGTTCTTGCAGGCACTGCATCTTTATTGATCCAAAAAGATACCCAAGAAAGAACAACTGTCAGAATACATGGAATGTAGGTTTGAATGGTAAAATATCCCATTCGTCTGCTCAGGTCAAAAAATATTGTCATGACAACATAATCCCCTGAAAGAAAAAAGTTTCATTTAGCTGTGTATGAATACACATGAATATACTATATATATATATATATATATATATATAAATCTATCCTTTTAAATGCACAAGTAATTTGATGTTACATCATCCATTCACTAATTTAGTCTTTCTTCTTACCAGAAATTGTGTGAGAGATTTCAGTTGAGTTCCGTAAACCTGCAAATGCAAACTGATATAATCTCCAGTATTTGGGATCAGCCACTTCTACAGAAGGTCTTTTCCACTTATATTGAATTTCGTTTTTAGGGTATCCATCTAGATTAAAAAAAAAGATAATGTTAACAAGATCCAAGTCTATGACTGTTGTTATACTAACATTAACCAAAGGCAAATAATTTGAATTTTTTTAATTTTGTATTATAGGATACGCCAAATATAGAAAATATCGCATAAGTATATCTAGATAACATCAATATTAACATAAATAACTACATAATGATAAAATAACTACAACATATCTGAATACACTTACATATTATAGAAAAAAATACAAGGTAGCATCTAAAAAATCCCATGTATATTCCAATATAGCAATTAGAAGTGACCACAAACTTGATTTCTTCACAATTCTTCCAATTTTTTAGCAATATTTGTTCAATGTTAACTTCTGAAAATATAGCTGTGTTTGATTCTTTTGAACTCCAATTATGGATATATCAGATACATTATTTTATTGCTTACTTCTTTGTATAATATTTAACATCATAACCCATGTTGTATGTAGTAATAGCAGTTTGTCACATTTTTAAATATGTTAAAATTTATTTATTCATTTTTCTCTTCCATGTAACATTTCTTATTATCACTTAAAACATTAATATAACATGATATTAACAATATATGCAGCATCTTTTTTGAAATAAATAGATTTTATTTGGTGGGTTTTTGAAGGTGTGAAGGAGGAGAGAGTGAGAGTAGGAGAGAGAGTAATGCATTCAAGAAAGAATGCGGGGGGGCAGGGCTGGATCAATAGCACAGCAGGTAGGACGGTTGCCTTGCATGCAGCCAACCCCGGTTCTATTCCCAGTATCCCATACGGTCCGCTGAGCATCGCCAGGAGTGATTCCTGAGTGCAGAGCCAAGAGTAACCCTTGAGCACTGCCGGGTGTGATCCAAAAAGAAAAAAATCATAAAATAAAAATTAAAAATATCATTAAAAAAGAGAGTGAGAATGTGGGCTTCTCCAAGGGCGAAAGATGCCCTACACACATCTCAGCATTAGAAACAAAATATATGCAGCATTTTGTCTAAGATATATACCTAGTTATCAGTTATACATAATTCCCACTTAGCATAGTTTATTTCTTCTACAAAGAGTAAACTAATCTATTCTCCTACCAACCATAAAGTACAGATAAATCCACATTTTTAATATAGTTGACAAAGATCAAGGATCATCTTCTTAATTTTGTTTTTTCATAAAATACATTTTGTTTCTGATAATGAATGAAAAAATACATATTTGTTCCTGATAATAATCATGTGCTTACAAGATCACTGAGGTTTTTTCTTTGGGTAACTGCTTATTAAATTGCTTATTTTCATTGAGTTTTCTCTCCCTTTTTTTTTTGTCTTTGACTAAGCTCTTTATATATTCTGAAAACTAGCCCTCCTCGATTTGTTGAAAGCATTTTTTACCTAGTGTTCTCAAGGATAGTGATAACACCAATGTGAGAAGATTCAACCATTAAATTTTTCAGGAAGTGCATTCTAACACCTAGCCTAGCAGGAACTTTGAATAAATGAACCTTGAACTTTTTGAACCTTGAACATTTGAATGAAGGGGTTACTGAATTGGGTGTCTCCATCAATGACCTCTGCACTAGGAATCCAGGCACCCCTGGGTTCAGCCTGGCACCAGACAGGACCATAGCTCTGTATTAAATTGGCATAGTGAGTGAACATCATATTCTATTTCTATAGAATGATAATGAAATTTTCAGGATAAAGCCACATCTATATACATCAACCATTGGCTAGACTCTAAGAGAAAAGTTGACCTACTCCTGTGTACCCATCAAGAACTTAAAACATTTTAAGGAAAAAGAGACACTACTAAGCTAAATAGCATGCCTTTTTTTTTTTTGGCTCAGATTGTACCAGGAACAATAACTGGTGGTTATCCAGCAGAAGCAGAAACGCTTCTCTGTAGCTGACTCAGTAGTAAATAAATGAAGGGATCCAAAGCTCAGACTGTGACCTTTGTTTTCTTAAATATTTTGCCTTTTCACTTCTCTAGGATCTAATCTCTATCTTTTTCAAATTTTGACACTTTCAAATCCAATAAACCACTATCGGAGTTCTATTTTTTTTTTAAGCCATGAGATTACTTAGATAGGCTGCATCCCTTTGGCCATCAGAAAGGAGCTCCAGAAGGTGGACCTTCAACCATCACCTTATCACTTTATCTCTGTCATCCCATTGTTCATTGAGTTACTCCAGTGGGTGCCAGTAACATCTCCATTCCTCCCAGCCCTGAGATTTTAGCAGCCTCTTCTTACTCATCTTTTCCTAACAACTGGAGGCTCTTTCAGGATCTGAAGAATGAGACCTATTGTCATTACTGGTTTTGGCATATCAAATACGCCATGGGGAGCTTGCCAGACTTTGCCTATGCAGACAGGATATTCTCGGTAGCTGGCTGGGCTCTCTGAGAGGCATGTATTTATTTATTTCTCTCAGTGATTTGTTGCCTACTGTCTGAACCCCATCAAGTATGGTGTGGCAATTATGAAAAATGGGTAGAAAGTGTTCTATAATGTGTCGTGCAGCTGGTAAATTGGCCTGGAGCATAGCAGTGGTTGGGTAGTGGAGGTTGGCTGCAGTGTCTGGGTCCCTTGGGCTGGGGAGGGCTCTCTTCAACCATAGGCACCTTAAATATTAAAGGGGATGAAATCTTTAAAGGGAAAAGTAAAGCAGGCAGGTGGATATGGGACTCTGGCAAGGAGTTTCTCAGAAAGTATTAGAGAAGTTGCTCTGTTAAAACATCCCAAAGACACAAAGATGGTCTGCCTTTGGGATGTAGAAACTGAAGGCAGATAAGATCAGTAAAGGCACTACATAGGGAAGGAAGGAGCTCTTTCAGGAAAGGGGAGACTGCAAGAGGAACAAAAGTCTGGAATAAGAACAGAAGAGAGGACACCCAAAAGCACAACACATCTTTTCTAGACAAGCTCCTAGCAATAGAATTTTTTTTTATATTTTTAGTAAGTCCCATAGGGGTGCAGTTGGGACAAAAAACTCTATAAAGTTTACTTCAAATGTAAGTAGCATGCACCCTATCTTAGGATTGCCTACATATCAACTTTGCCTGTATAATTACTTTCTTTTACTTTACAGGATACCCTAAGTTCTCTGAAGACACCCATGTTATCCCTTGAAAGTACTTAGAATCTCTCTCTCTTTCTCTCTCTCGCTTTCTCTCTCTCTCTCTCTCTCTCTCTCTCTCTCTCTCTCTCTCTCTCTTTCCTCATAATACCCAAATACATTTACTTTGAAAAAAAAACTTTGTCTTCTCTCTTCCTTTTTTATAATGGACTTTTTTTGTTTGTTTCTGTCACATGCCAAGAATATCCACAAGGACTTTTAAACCAATCAAGTGAAGGGGATTTGGTTATAGTTCCTTGGGAGGGAGAGACTGTATTATATCCTCTCAGTTACGTGACATTGGTATGCAGAAGGTATAAACTACTTTCCTTGTAGACCTTAGAGACTGTGCATGAAAGGGGACACTGCTTCATGTTATCTTAAAATTCCAAGAATTATGTCGCATGTAGAGATTACGTACTATTGAATTCTATCCCATAAAAGGAGACTTAAGGGCAGTGATGGGGGCCCTTGTACGATTTATAGTGAAGGTAACGTACATTTGTATGTCAGAACACTACTGTGTAAATATCAACATTACCTAAAATGTAATACTTGAAAAATAGAATCCAGTCCAAAGCACTGTCAAAATCAGATTATATTTACATTATTCGTAAAATGTCCTTTGTAAACTTTTTTCTAATCCTTCTCATGTGGCTTCAATTTTTGAAAGTATAGATTTTGTGTGCTGAGCGATAGCACAGTGGGTAGGGCTTTTGCCTTGCACGCGGCCAACCCAGGTCATTCCTCCATCCCTCTTGGAGAGCCCGGCAAGCTACTGAGAGTATCCCATCTGCAAGGCAGAGCCTAGCAAGCTCCCCGTGGCATATTCTATATGCCCAAAACAATAACAATAGGTCTCACAATGGAGACGTTACTGGTGCCTGCTTGAACAAAACAATGTACAATAGGGAGGACAGTGACAGTGCATAGATTTTGTAGCTGGGATTCTCTTCCACTATCACTTCTATGTATTTAGGAATATTTTTAAATTCAAAATTTTAAATTCTTTTCAACAGAAGGGATGCTCTACTATAAGAACTTCATTAACTCGTTAACTATGAATCTTAAAATTTCCATTTTTTTTGTACCAGGATCCAGATTAACCCTGAAACGAACTATTTTTAATTTGTTTGAGAGTGTTTTCTCTTGGGGGCTGGAGAGATAGTACAGCAAGGAGGGCACCTGACAGGCACATGGTCTGCCTGGGTTCACTTTCGAGACCACCAAGAGTGATCCCTGAGAGTAGAGCCTTGAGAGCTATTAGGTGTGGTCCCAAAATCCAAAAACCAAAACAAATAAAAATAATGTTTCTCTTTCCTTTTCCTTTTTCCTCTACCTCTTGCGCTCTACATATCTAGCCAGCTTGTTTTTCCATCTTTTCTGTATTTCATTACCATTGTAGAGACAATAAAGCATAGTTAAAGTATACTTTGAAATAATGAGCCTAAATAAAAACAACAAACTTATTGACTACTTTATATCTCATGATCCTGACTTGGAGTGTGAATTATAATAAAATATCCCAAGTATATTTGTTGTGAAATTTGAGATATAAAGGGTCTAATTATCTATTGGAGTCAAATTGAGAACCTGAAAATTATCGTGTTCATGTGAGTGATACTATTTGCTTTCAGTTTGCCTTCAAAAGGAATTAGAAAGTATTACCTAAAAAACTAAATTCCAAAGGGGAGAAATTGCATCAGGAAATAGATGAGTTAGCAGAAACATTAAAAATACATTTAATATGCTTTCAAGACTTGTTTAATTATATATTACCTAAAATATTTTATAAAATATATATGAGAGCAAATGTAAGAGAATATAAAACAAAATTGACAGTCACAGATTATAATTGTTTCCTGGGAGTAAACAATAACTTGTATCTT